TTGTAGGAAGTTCGGGCATGAAATAATTTAAGAACAGTTTTACAAAACTTAGCTAAACCTATTAGTTCATATATATCAGAAGTATTCATAAAATCATAAAAAGATATTGTGTTTGGGTTCATGTAAATATTGCTAGGTATAAATTTCTGTCATTGATTATTAAAAAACGACACTTAAATAAACAAGCATTCTGAGAGTATTGCATTAGCAATACTAGTCCCCTACCGGCAAGTGTAATCTGGTTCCCGTTAAAAATTGAAAATGCCACAATTCCGTCAAAAATCAATGAAGCGGAACGAAATGCGAACTTGACCTATAACCCATCAAGGTAAAGTCACATGCCAAAAATCAGCTCAATATCTACAAGCGTTTAAGAAAAAATTGCAGAAAACCCTGAAAAATTGAAAAGGTCGTAATTCCGTCAAAACTCATTGGAGCGGAACGAAATGCAAACTTGATCTGTAACTCATCAAGATACACTCACATACCAAAAATCGGCTCAATATCTACAAGCGTTTAGAAAAAAAGTGCGGAAAACCAAGTGGGACAGACAGACAGACAGACAGACAGACGGACAGACTCAGGGGAAACCTATAGTCCCCTCCGGTTTCACCGGTAGGGGACTAATAATGAAACTCATCAAGTTCATTGTTAATGCAGAGGTTACAATGTCTCTCAGATCTATCAATACTATTAAATCCACCAGCTTCAATTGGCAAGTTATGACTGACACAACGAAATTTACATAAATATAATCTAAGATCATTTGGTGACATGTTTAGATAGTTTTAAAAACCAAAATCACACTTGTACATTCTATTTAATACATTTACATTCCAGTCTTTGATAAAATTTTCTCTTAATGTATTCTTAACCAACACACCAATTTTGCATGATTTATCAACATACTGAGCATTCCACATTAGATCCAAATTACAATCATGTAAGATATTCCAAGAGCCATTTTGAATAGTAAAAACCTTAACCTTTTGAACTAAACTGATACAAAACTGAGTACAATGTGAAGGAAATTTTCTCATTCTTACCACACAAAATCCGTTGCCAGAAACCAGCCATTCTAGACTTTACTAATATACTAAGTGGTATTCTACCCAGCTCTCCATAAACAATACAATGAGGAGTAGTCTTTTTAACTTTCAAATTTTTTTTTTACAAAATTCCATATGAAAGGATTCTAAAATGCTGCAGTTTCAAAACCCCATACTTCTACACCATACAACAAAATAGGTACAACCATGGTGTCAAAAAGTTGAAGTTGCATATCAATAGGTAAATTTAATTTCCTGGATTTTCTAAGAACAATATACATGTACATAGCTTTTCTTGTTGTAGAGATTTTGACTTGAACTTACAAGATGTGTCATGATTCCGGGACCTGATCAAAAGTTTCCACGTCCTCTGTCTACAGCTGGAAACGAAATTGTTACTTCGTCATCCATCTGAACGGGGCATTAAATCTTGTAATCAAATACAGATATGAAGTACTGACGAGGTACTCCTTTTTTGATTTTCTTGGTCAAGAACAAAAATCAAAAAAGTCCCTAAAGTGGTTCATACTTTAATTATCTCACCAAAAACACAACTAATAAATACGTGTCTTACAACTCACCTTAAGTTATACGTACATGATTTTTTTTTCATGAATGAATTGGTTTGCTAGGTTTGAGATGACTTGAATTTGAAAACAATATTCATTTTTAAAAAAAAATGTAAAATTTGGCATATTTTTGCAACATATGGCTTTTATGTTTATTATATGTTTATAATTAACAATGAATATTTGATTCAATTTAGTAATCTCTGCGAATCTTAACGCCCCCCCCCTTCCCCTCATCCTCCTATAAATACAATATACAGTCCCCTGTTTTTTGCTTCCTATGAAGCAGCTTTTACATGATAAGAGAAAAAAACACTTGCTATGACCTTCAACTCAACATTCAAATATATCGACAACGTTTAATCAATTAACAATAGTTACTTCCATTCATATGTGCTCTGCGTTCTGTCAATTTTTTAGTCAAGTTACCGAGAGATAAGTTAATGCTCCAGGGATTCCAACAACTTGTCGATTCGTTTTAACTGTCGTGACTTCGTAAATTGCATGGTCTTTATAGTGACCTTGCTAGCATATACATGTGTATATACTATCACTGGGTCTTGTTTTGGCTGACATATTCATACCAATTGTTGGGCCTTTGTCTTTATTCCAAATTTGATTACGGAATGTTCCGTCTACCAGATCAATACATAGGGCTCACGCCTTGTGTGACCGGTCAACAGGGGATGCATACTCCTCCTAGGCACCTGATCCCACCTCTGGAATTTCCTGGGTCCGTGTTTTAAGCCCTGTTCACTGACTTGTATTGTTTGTATTTTTTAATCAATCACCGTTCGTTATCTTCACCTTTTTTCATTCTAAATGAATACTTAAAAGAAGTAGTGTTTTCGACGAGTACCTGGTTAACCGGTTAACCGTCGAATGGTGCGAGTATCGGTTAGTAAAACTGCTACTCGGTTACTCGGATATATAGTATTTTACATAGTAAATCTGTAGGATAAAATATATTTTTGTTAATAAAGTCCCAATTTTATTTACCGTTATTCAACGTAAGTCATGATCTAGCATCTTACAAATTGGTCTTTTTGATTAGGCATTAATTCACAGTTTATCTAATTGATGGCTTTGATTGCAAAGGGTATACAAGTCTTGAGGGCTTGAGTGTATTATTATTACCTCACATAAACTTATGCTTGTCGCAGTTCAAGATTAAAGAAGATGTCGCCACATGAATCAAAAACATGGAAATATTTTGAAAGAATGACTGAAATTAGGACCGTAAGGTGAAAAATGTGTGAAATGGAATTAACATACATGGATGTGACAACAAATATGCTAAACCACTTTAAACTGAATTTAACTCTAAAACCAGTTATGAAAAGGACATCCTGCAAAACAACCATTTTTATTACGGGTATTCGACAATGAATTTATTTGGATGTGTGTTTGTAATTAAAATTCATATGCAGTGCATTTGTGTTTTGTATATACATGTACTGGTATACAAATGATGAAATAAATATACAAAGTGTAAAAACGTTACATGCAATGCTTATTACAGTTACTACTGAAGTATATATATAAGTCGCGAACAAAAATGTTTAGGTCTAAAGAAAATTTATCCGAGTAACCGGTTACTCGATCGGAAAAGTAAGCGAGTGACTGATTACTAAAATCGTCCTATTTGACAACACCAAAAAGAAGGCATGAAAAAAGATACATTTTCATGCTTTCTTCGAATTCTTTTCCGATACTTGAAGTAATCCTTTGCAATGAAAAAGGTGAAGATAACGAATAGTGATCAATCTCATAAAACCGACATAGGATTTTTTTCATATTTTTACGGATAACCCCCCCCCCCTTCCAAGAAAAGCAAAAAAAAATATATGTGAAACTTTCATTTTTTTTTCTGTCTGAACATCAACAAAGAAAGGAAAGTAAATGGTTGCATGTTTTCTGAAACACACCTTCATGAATGTATATTCAAGATTACTTCATTTGTAGTTACTGTCTTAAAAAATAGTTTATTGTAATTGAAATTGGTAAATCCCTCACAAAGGAAAAGGTCAACTTTGCCAAATAACATACTTTGCTAAAATTACAGTTAATGTACTATATAACATACCTACCCTACTTATTACAATTCTTATTGGTGAATATATATCCTTCATGTCAATTTCTAACCTTATACCTATACACATGTAAACGTTTAAACTTCAAGTACTGATAATACTAGTAACTTCTCCCACGTTTCGATTTTCCTTAATGGGTAATTCTGGGACTTTACAAGTAATACAAATAATCCCTTTTCACCAATGCAATAGTACTTGAAACCCCTTTCTCCTTCGTACATTTGTAAATGCTGTTTACTTTCTTGTAGTTTGTCCTAATTGAATGAAATTTCAGTAAAGCTTCTTTAAATTTCATAATTATTATCTAGAAGAGATTCATGAAATACACAATCCGCCAAACACCAATATTTTTGTGAATCAAATGGCTCAGTTCACTTTCTTTTAACTGCAGTAGAGATGAGAAGTTTCGGAAGATTGTGGTAAAATATATAGCACTGAACTGCTTATTTTTTGCGAGACAAGAGTCGCATTAGGCACGAATTCAACATAATTTCCCAAGAGAAACGTGTAATCAAATCCAAAGAGTATAATAATCTTTAAAAATTCCCAAATAGCAAAATTAAATGTAGGGTTCAATAAAGTACAAGTGTTTGCCAATCCTGAATCCCGGAGATTAAAATTTACAATCCTTTTATATACTTAGATATTCAAAGAAAGTTACTGACCATTTCCCTCTCTCTCTCTCTCTCTCTCTCATACACACGCACACCCTCTCTCACATACATACACACATACCACTCACACCCAACAATAACGCCTGATGACATTTTTGGGGGTTTGTCAATGTCAAGGATTTTTCTTCGCCCCCCCCCCCCACCCCACCCACAATTGAAAATGTTTGGTTGTACCCCAAAACTAAAATTGCTTTCTACGGGCCTTCCAAATATCGATTAGGAAATTTGTCATTTGAATGAAAAAAGAAAGAGTATTTGCTTCACACACATCTGTATATGTATATGTGCATCATAAATTTATTACTTATTTGAAACCCAAATGGCGATTTTCTTCTTTATGACCCCTTTCCCTCTAACCTTTCTCATTTTACATAATTATATATATATATATATATATATATATATATATATATATATATATATATATATATATATATATATATAAAACAATCCAATCAACTTTATGTCAACAAATTTTTAATATTTGCATTAACACCCTCCCACTTCAAAGTGTCACATGTATCCATTATATCACTCATGCTCTACAACGTGTTTTAAGGAAATGTGTAGCAAACACGCCTCATTTTCTCACTTAATTTTTCAGTAGGAAGTTGATAAAGAAAAACATTTTTTTATTATATTATTGATCATATAATTACGAAAGTGAAAAAAATATAACTCAGATGCGTAACTTTCAGCTTAGGAAAAGCTCTATAAATACTTAGGGAAACATTTAGTAAAAATTGACAGTCTTGTCATGTGGTTACACTATTCTTCGAGAATCAAAACAATAAACAAATGATACATTCATCCACAATAAGATTAAACAGGAATAGTAAACAGTTAATATATAAAGTTAGGAATCGTCATCCAATTTAAAGAAGGAAGAAAAACATCACAATTATTTCAAACATGAACATTTCGATGCCATTTTCCTTATACACATTCATACTTTTCTGCATTGAACATTACATACGATTTTCAATCATACGGTTTATTACTTTTTTCTTTTGATTGTCCAATTTTTTTAAGCTTGTTAAGAACTCGTTTGGTGAAACTAGTAGCTTTCGGTGTTTGTGATTCTTCCGATGTCGTCTGCTTCCTGCCTTCTCGCCTTTGAATGACCTTGCGGACGATACCGACCAGAAGTTCATCGATGTTGTGGTTGAGGACGACAGAAGTCTCTGTATATTTACACTTGTACTTGTCTGCAAACTTCTGGGCCTCTAAGTAATAATATTTAATAAAAAAAAAAAGGTATCAGGCGTATACATTTATTAAATATTCTGGATCACAGAGTACAAAAAGGGAGAGTCCAAAGGGAATCGTAAGCATACATATTTTTGAAATCAGTCTTTCTGAATGATATATATTTTCTTCAATTCTCTTTACGTTGATTTTAAAAGTAAATTGAAAAACTGTTGAAACTTATACATGTAAAAGTAATATACATCTAGTTCAACGAATATATTTCGTGTACCTCGTTCGGAAACTGTTCTGTTTCTTGCTAAATCGCATTTGTTTCCCACGAGAAAAATGGGAGAGTTGTACTTCATCTTGTCCCGAATGATTTCGATTTTCTTGGTTGCATATAAAAATGAAGAAGAGTCCACGACAGAGAATACTGCCACTACTGCATCCACTAAAGACGTCCTGTGGCCTTCCTGTAAAACAATTTGAACTTGAAAATTACGGAATGAATTGGAACAGATAAGTAGATGTTTATAAGAGATTGGAAAGATTATGCAAGATTGTACTCAACTCTGTATCAGATTCGTTTAAGAGGAATGGTTCATCTAAATTAAGAATGTAATTTGGATTTAATGTGGAATGCTCAGTATGTTGATAAATCATGCAAGATACATATATATTACTTAATACTACATTAAGGGATAGAATATCTAAGGTTTGAATGTAAATGTAGTAAATTCTCCAAAATGTCTTACTTATAGAATGTTGAAGCATGATTTGGTTTTGAGAATTATCTAAACATGTTACCATCTGATGTTAGATTCTACTTGAGTAAATTTCGATGTGTCAGTAATAACTTGCTAATTGAAGCTGGCAGATTTTATAGCATTGATAGATCTGATGGGCACTGTAATCTCTGCAATAACAATGAACTTGATGATGAGTTTTGTTATTTATTTGTCCTTTTTTAAGAATGAAAGACAAAAATATAGCTAGTTATATTTATATGAATCCAAATACAATATCTTTTTTATGATTTGATAAATAATTCTGATATATATATATATATATAGAGAGAGAGAGAGAGAGAGACGCACGAATGTAAAGCTGAAAACTTCAAGGAAGCACTACAATATTAAGTTCTCCGTTATTCAAATGGATTTTTATTAATCCCTCTGTATTCATTTTGTACATGAATGAAATATGGAGATAACGAACAGTATTCAAGCTCAAATTCCATTTAACCAATACAAATCGGGAGTGGAGCAAACACAGACCTCCAAAAACATCAGAGGTGGGATCAGGCGCCACAGAGGAGCGAGCTTCCCCTGCCGACCGATCATACCCGCCGTGTGCTCCTTGTCATGATCGGGAAAAAACGGTAAATCCCGTAGACAATTTAGTGTGTAAATAATGGCCTAACAATTAGTATGAAAAACGTCAGTCAGCATTTGACTTAATGATAGGTTGTATTTGCTGTCAAGGTCATTGTATATATATATATATATATATATATATATATATATATATATATATATATATATATATATATATATATATATATATATATATATATATATATATATATATATATAAAATATCTATTTCTGGTGACTGGGACTCGGAAACACAATTACGAAATATTTGGCAAACGTTTCGTTATGTGTGAGCCAAATATATATATTAAGATTCGGCTTCTACGGAAAGTAATATTTCTTCATTGTCATACGGCAGTGCTACAAATAGTCCGATATATCTGACGTTTTCCAGGCTTATTTAACGAACTTGATATTTTACTGTAAATATTGATATTTTTTACAAAAAAAGGACAGATACATCTTACATTTAATTTTATTGTTTTAGAACGGGTCTCTGATGAGATTATATTTTCTCTGGTTGGTACATACTATAGTCCATTAGAACAATGCACTCAGACTTAAAATTTTCTTTGAATTCAATTTTGAAGAAAAAAAAATCCCTTGATTTTTCCAAATTATGTCATCAAGTTTTACTGAAATCGTTTAATTAGTAAGTGTCGTCTAGGTACTCTAACTTTGCAAATTTGGAATGTTCTTGGTAATTAAAACGGACTCTCGGGATCCCAAATAATAAGATCGGTTAATAATTTCATCAGACTACTTAATTTTTTTAACTAAAGCAATTAGATTCATAAAGTTTTTTGCCGAGGGGCTGGAGCAATATGCGAATAATGTAGATATTTGTGGAAAATGGAGCAGTAGTACACACGACTTCCTCTTGTGGGAAACGAAGACAAATAATCAATAACTATTAAAGGGAAAAAAATTACGGAAAATAACATTCGGTGCACTTGATGCAACCCTCTGGGAGAGAGGAAAATGATTATATTGTAACAGATTTGGAAGAAAATAGGTTTGTCATCCTGGAAACGTTCATTTACTATTGCGTAACGAAAGCATAAACAGGTAGAGAGTGATTTGAATTTCCAAACATAGGTAATGTTTTCAAAAATAGATGTGGGGTTTCTGGTTTGATAATCCTATAAAATTATTGTAAAAATAAAAAAGTGGATAATAGTTTAATGATTTCTATATTTGAGATTTAATGTAAATTTCATGTTTTGTTAATCTCATTCCATGTTCCATATTCCTTTTTCATTGCTTTTTTTCATGTATTTTCTGCCATTAAACGATTGTTTTCATAGTTTACTAGTAAGTCATGTATTATTAGATACGATATTTAATTAGCAATTATTAATAATTTAAAACAGCTATGTTGTTTAAGACATTTAAATTTTAATCATTTACAAGAGACAGCTTTGGAACAGTTACATTCTGAAACATCACAGAGATGTGCCTATATAGATTGAGTTTCTTGCATGTATAGTTACGATGTATAATGTCAGGTACTTAATGACTCATTTTACCCATGTATTAATATATTAGAGGATTAATCAATGTCATTAATCCCAAAATGACAACGCATGAGTTGTTTTTTTTTACAGACAAAAAGTACAAGAGAAACCATTATTCCCAGCAAAGCATATGACATGACTTTGTTGTGTCATCTGCAATTGAATACTAGAGCCGTTAATTCTATGGATGCTATGCTCAAGTCTCTGTGCAATGCTCTTCTGTTACATCACAAGAATTTTGCTCTTTCCTCTACACTATTCTGATACAATTGGTGCAATGTGTCGTTATATGAACTGATCACGATTCGATTCGTATCTAAATGTTTATAACTAATTTTCTTAGTTGACTAGAGCATGTAATTCCATGCTTCATTTCATATCTTCTTACCATAAACTCAGTTTCTTCAACAAACTGCACACAATATTCATCTTTATTGAGTAGAAGGAAAATATCCTCTGGTGATTCGGCATCTTCTGAAATAAGATTTAAATGATAAAAATTGATGCTTTGTACATAAAGGTCCTGAACAATTTGTTGTCTTTGTTTGAAGAAATACCGTAAATTGTCTAATCCGGACAACAATTGGCCAGATTAGACAACATTTCAAACAATTAGGTTTTCTCAAAGGGACTAAAATAGCCAGATTTCGAATTACATATCACCCGGATTAGACAAGTATTACTATTATACGTATATTAAAAGCGCATACCTCTTTGGTGGTTGATGTATATTTCCTCTGACGTTGAGAACTGACTTTTCAATGTATGTATTCCTACTTCGTCGCAACCAACCAATGCCACCCTGACAACTTGGACAACACGTGGTGTTTCGTTATCAGCGCTTACTGAGGCTTCGACACTACCGTCACATTTCTCACAAGAGTTTATGCTGATAGTGCTCTGTCTTCGGATTAAGTCCCCACGGTTCTTTAAACCATCTCTAGTTAAGTGGAATGACCGCACCCTTTCTAATGGACGGGTTTCTGGGGGTGCCAAGAACATTTTTGGACTTGCCGGACTTGGCAAGCTATTACGTCGCGCCAATGTGACATCCAATCGAACATGGTCAGGCTTTTTCAGCTTAAAAGAAGACGCTCTTTTAAAACCTGAGTCTGACATCTCCTCGGGAGGGTGTAAGAGCCCCACGGGGTTCCGACATTCTTCACTACTTTTCCCCGTTGACATAGTGCTGAGCCTTTCGTGTTTATTGTTGTTATGGTGCAATCTAGTAGATTGCAACAATATTTTATGCATCTGTGAGGTGTAGTGAAGAGTGAATCATAAGCGCGTCAGTTGGTAAAACATTCTTGTTTGTGATGGGTGCTTAAGATTGGTACTTTCCCCCTTTCAGCATGCTTTACATCGCACCTCATTTATCTATACCCGCATTTCGTCATTAAAAAAAATTTTTGGTGTACTCTGGTCGGTTTGAATTCTAGGACGAAATATTAGGGGTTAATCGATAAAATTTTTAATAATAAATGAATCTAAAATTGACTGTTTCACCGAGTTAAATGACAATAGATAATATCGATTTTGACAGTAGTGTTGTGTTAAAAGAACGTAGTTTCATCTTTAACATTTTTTTTTTTAAAAAGAAGACCACTAGCCAAGAAAACTTCTATTTTCTTGAATGATGGTGCCAATTTTAGCTTCCTGCTGTGATGCATTATTTTCGTATTACAAAGGAATGACAAATATTCAAGCATGATGCGATCGGTGTTTCCAGAACGTTGAGTTATACTGAGCTTGAGGCGTGTTCGGCACACCCATCTAATTTACACATATATGCGTGCATATTGAATTTACTAACTATTACTAATGAAAATCTCATGTTTATGACTTTTTTCATATAAGATATTATATGTACTGGTGTTGAAGTATTCCTTCACATAACTTTTATGCATAAAACACTCTAGACCAGGAAAATATTTTAAAATATTTTATTATAAAGGTAAAAAAGAAAATAAAATGGAACATGATAGATACAATCAGTATAAAAGAGAATTTATCAAGATTCTTCCAGTCAGATTCTCATCAGATACGCGGTGAACATCCAAACATTCTTATCGTGACTCAGAGCACAATCTTTCACCTCCAACATGTCAGTCTGTACCGATCTCTGTTATTCTAGTACATATTATACATACAATCAAACCTTAGTCATAACAACCAAATATTCATCAATGATATGTATTAACTACGTCTATGCTTTGCTGGGAATCATTATCTTATCATCTATTTCATACGTCAAATAACTTTGTGCACGAAAATTCGTGATGTCCGATTTTCATAAGTTTTTGTAGAAGTATTTTCGTAAACATGGATGCTGTTTTGGGGTCTTTTGTCAGATCTCCGTCTGTGTTGTTGCTGTAGCTGTGACGTCTGCTGCGAACCTGACGTATAATTCCCGCCAAAAGTTGATCCACATTGTGGTTCAAAGCCACAGATGTTTCAATGTATTTGCAATTATATCTGGTCGCTACCTTTTTGGCGTCTGTGAAAGAGGAAATGAATATCATTAAAAGATGGTTAAAAAATTTTAAAAAGTAATTGTATTGAAATCATGAAATTATATTTTTATAAATATTTAAAGTAAGCGTAAAAATGTACGCTTATTTTTGGAGTCTAAAATGTTCATACTGCTCATCTTTAAAAGAAAGAAGAGGAATTATAAATGTGAATCTGGCTCTTCTTAGATATTTTGCCAGTTTCATTTCCGTACCTTTTTCTGTAACAATTCTCTGCCTCGCCAAGTCGACTTTATTTGCTACTAGAAACAATGGTTTGTCGAATCCAATTTCCTGTCGTAACATTTCTATTTTTATGATTCCGTTTTTAAAGGATTTGGCATCAACAACGGAGAAAACCACCACAATTGAATCCACCAACTCATTTTCTGCTTGATTCTACAAATATATCAAGACTAAATTGTATTTTTTTTTCTTGGAACGTTTTACAAGCCTTCTAATGATGTTACTTTAGAAAAAAAAAATCTTGCAAATTAAAAATAAAACTTTTATAATCTAATCGTAAGAAAATAGCGCAAAACATGAATGGTATTTTTACGTCTCTACATGTACCTAACTTTTGATTTAAAAAAAATCAGTCAGCTTTTTTGTGTTTGTGTTTGACTATAAATAAATATAAATAAAATGTTATCCTATGCATTCAAATAAAAATTTAAGACTGCGTTTTCGAATTAAACAAGAGGACAATTTATCACAACGTTCACTCGAGTCACAGAGTACACCGACTAAAGTAATCTTTTGAAGCTTCTTCTTATGACCCTTTAGCTTATCTATTTCAAAGGACATTGATATTGACGAATCTACATTTCAGAAATATAAATTAATAAAATTTTTTAGTTTGAGCATAGTTTGTCGTCAAAAGAATAAGAATTTTTCTGTATATTTCTATTTAATTTTTTGAAATATTAACAGTGTCCTATACCCTAGTTATAGGGGTAATTACTTAAAGAAAAAATATTCTGCAACACACAGAAATTCCCGTATTTTGATTTGACCGATTACAGGATAGCTGTTTTAAAATGAAGTTTTAAAGAAGGAAGATGTCAATCTAAACTAAATCCTTTTAGATTAAGGGGCCATGATTAAAACAAATTTAGATTTATATGCATGAAAAGAAATCTTCCTCTTCTTCTAATAAGAATCTTAACAAGGCAACATCATTTACATTATTTATGAATTACCTCCCCGACTTGGCCTTTACAAACTTGAATCCCCTACTGCACACTCGAAGATACTTTTTGCGAGATTTAGTAGAAATTCGCCCATTGTTGTTGAGAATGTATACAATGTAAAAAGTTATAATGGAAGTCAAAGGACAAACTCTCACGTAGTCTCCGGCTTACGTGAGCTATACAACCTTATATTTTTATGAATGAAATAGCGTTAGAATGCTAAAATGTCAGTTCCCTGAGTTCGCTGTAGGCGTATTTGAGGACTACGTTTTAAAGCTTTATACACGACTGTGACGACTATAGAAATAACACAATCATGCTCTGGTTCTTTGTCAGAAGAGTATTTTCATCCTCATTACATATTATTTGGTTTTTACTCCTCATTTTAGAAATGATATCATTATCATTTGTATTAAATTCCTACACATATACGGCAACCATGATAAGATTCTAGGTATTATCTTACTCATTTCTAAATAAAATTCCTTTGAGAAATCTAAAACACACGCAGAGATCTCATACGAGCGTATTTTCTATCACATTAACTCTTTCCGTGACTTTATGCATTTTATTTTGCCGTTTTTATCAGATTTATTTCATGTTGGGCGATCACAATGGCATAATGTGCGCTGTTAACCATCTTACCGCTAACTCCGCTTCATCAACAAACATCACATATGACTCCTCGTCATCCATCAAGACGCATATCCCATCTTGATCTTTGATATCTAAAGAAATAAGGTAAAAGTTACTGAAAGAAAGTATGATATTCGCAGCTTTGGAAGAATATGACTTACTGTTCGTTAAGCAGAATTATTTTACAGGTACTAACATAAAAATCTGTAAACATGTAATAATATTTGAAGCCTTGTTTCATTTTGAGACAATTTTGAGATTATACTTGTCGTTTTGATTCTCTACATCAACAATATCTTTATGAACTGAATAACATTCAAATTATATTGATAAGACATTTATCATATAATTTGACATATCCTCGTGGAACATAGCGATAATAATTTAATGTACTCACCATAATTATTAATGTAGAGTTCTTCTGAAGTTGCAAATTGATTTTTGAGAGATTTTTTCCCAACGCCTTTGGAACCAATAATGGCAACCCGTAATTGTTGTTTTGGGCAGATGCTTTCCATTGATGACGTTGCTCCAGTGGAACATGATTCGTATCCATCACTTGTTCCTGCGCTGCATACACTGTGCGGTCTGAATTTGTCCCCACAGTTTTTCAGTCCATCTCGTGTTAAACTAAAGGATCGCACTCTTTCCAAACTCGATGACCGAACAATTGAACCGATTACGGTAGGACTTGGTAAACTGTTTCTTCGTTTTACCTTTGGTCGAACAGCTAAGGACGTTGGTCTTTCAATCCTGAGAGATGAAGATCTCTCAACTTGTTGCGACTTTTTGATTAAAGATGTCTGATATTGCAGCTTTTCAAGCTGTTCCATAGCTAAGAACTTTGTTCCAACTATCTCAAGATACAAAGTTTAAGTGAATATGCCCTGTTTACGTCTCTTTAAGATATATATACCCTTTCTCCGAAACAGCTGACTCATAGAGTCTGTGTTATCGCTGACGTCTGATATACCAAGGTGTGCAGAGATGATACAGTACACTAATTCACAGAAGTTATACGGGGGAAAGATGTCGGTTGAGGATAAAACATTAATAATCAAAATAAATCATATCATGTGAAACTATCACTATGACGAATAGTGCGATTTTCAGGTTATGCAATTGTAATAAGTACAATTTACTCGATATTGGTCGATTACAAAAAGATACAAAAGGTATAGAAAGTGTCTGAAAAAAATCTGTCAACTATTCATATAGTTTTGATTACTTAGAAAAATGGTGTTTCCAGAAATTATTGGGATTTTTTATGATACATTTATCTTAAATGTTGGATTATATACAAACAATATAATTTAGTGTTACCATTTTATTTAATGACAAACCCCGTACTTTCTAATGATACATGCAGTTTTCAAGGATAGCCTCCCATTCATTTTATATACTTTCTGTTGTCTGCCGATGTTCAAAGTTATGGCTATCGAAAATAGAAAGCCTATTTAAGCGAAGTATTAGTAAGAGATTGTTAAATCTGGTGATATTTCTAAAACATGCACTGAATATTTCATCGTCTACTTTGTATTGTGTGGTACAAAATATTAAAAAGAAGACCTAGAAAACATTCACAGATCAAAGAAGGCCACTAGGATATTTGCTCAGTAAGAACAACACTATATGTAGAATTGATAAAAAAAAAATGAATTCAAACTTTAAATATTTTATTTTTAAAATATTTTGAAAAACACATTTTACGAAAAAATTCTAAATTATTTCTGGGGACACTATATTTCTTATCTTATCTTAGATACTCTTGGTTACTGGATATCTTCAGTTTAAACGTCATCATATAACAAATAATCATGGATTTCTAGACTTTTTTCTGTGTTTCGCTTTTTTAATCTTTAAATATTTTTTAAAGATATTTTTATATCGTGATTTTCTTATTTATTTGATAGTTGTGTAAACAAGATTTACAATACATTCAGAACTGTGATAATTTCGTTGATTGATTGATTGTATATTGTGTTACGTCCCATTCGAGAATTTTTTTTCACTCATATAGAGACGTCACCATATACCGGTGAAGGGCTTCAAATTTACATCTAATATACTCGGCACAGGTCTATTGAGCAGTGAGGGGTTCTCTGTCGTGCCAACGCCTGCTGTGACACGGGACCTCAGTTTTTAAGGTCTCATCCGAAAAACCCGTGACTTTCCTTTCTAGTCCGGGCGCTTGGCAAGGGAACAGTCACTTCCTATGTTTACGTCTTAGGTTTGTCTCGGTGCGGCGAACGAAAATCGAATCCGGGCCTCCTGATCACGATGTGAACCCCTAACACTAGGCCACTTTGACCGGTTTGATAATTTCATATACTACCATAATATACTATTTAAATAAATTGAAAATTTACAATATAACATTGAGTGTATAAATTGATAAAATAAGTAACAAGGGTTTAGGGTCTTACTTTATATATCTCCTGCATGACATGTTAAGCAAAAGAGTAATTTTACCCAGTCATTCTACAAAAACATGGCCAATTAAGAATTTTTATGTCGCTTACAAATTTATCGTTGTAATATCTTAACTATAAAATTAAAGATCAATTTCAGCTCTAAGAATTAACATACACACATAGTTTTGTAATTATTAACCGATATGTATGCAGTTAAAGTTTTGATATGAACATAATGTAATGTTGAAAAACGTATATCACTGCAAATCTTCATTTCGCTTCATTTATTTACAAATTTCAAGATGGAATTTTCAGCCGTAAAAGCGTTCCGAATAGATTGCAATGAATGTTAAAAAAAATTTTTATCCTATATGAAAAGTAATCAAACCACTTCTCGCAAAGAAATACATGGATCTTCTTTCATGCGAAATCATAAGCATGTCGCTAAAAATCGATTAACTTTTGTAATGATTTTGTTTTGAATTTCACGCACAGAATGCAGATTTCAAAAAGAACTGAAACTTATCTTAATGTGACCACGGAGCCTAATACCATCGATTCTAGTTGCGAATCACCTATTTCTGACGATTACATTTTCGACAGAACAAAATGAATTAGACAAAAACAGTTGTCTCTCTTAAAAATTTAACTTCCGTAATGGTAATTCAGGAAAGTTTTTGATTAAAGATATGAAATTCTTTATTATTTTAGGAGCGAAATGCTTCATACGTTTGTTTAACATCCTAAAACAAACTTTGAGTTTAACTATTGCCGAGAATTTTAACTTTTATTGCTGGGAATTAACTTCCGTAACGATTAACTCCCGTAACGATATTTTTCCCGAAATTTTAACTTAAATTCGGATTCATGCGACACTACATGAATCATACTTTAGCGTTCTATATTGAACATTAGAAATAAAAAAAAAATGGTCAAATTCAGCTTTATTTAAAAATAGTAAGACTTTATCAAGCATTAACTTCCGTAACATTAACCTTAAAATCAATGGTATATTGAAATTGTTGTAAAAAGTTAACGATACCAGATTTGTGGACAATTCTTTTTTTTTCAAGTTCTCTGATATGTCCTCCAGAGAAATATGATGTTCATTTTGCTATTCTTAATAATAATTTTTTTTTCATGTTTTATTCCCTGAATTGGTCCATTTATCGTAGAATGACTGTACCACGTTTTGACAGAGAATTTTTTAACAATGTAGGAGAATATTTAGCTCAAAATTTATTTTTACAGATTAATATCAACAAGAATGAAAAAAAAAATCGGATATACTTTCAATGGATCAAACTTGCCCCGTACCTGAGGTGGCATTGGTAAAAGATGCTTACGTCATTTGTGATGAAGTCTTGGCGAAGGACATTTTCACCCAATTTATTTATATAATTAGACCAATGTCCTTTTCAGTACATTACATTAAGTAGAAATATGAAGATAACAAAAAGTAATCAAGCTTAAGAATCCGATGGAACAATGCAAATTGGGAACAAAGCAAACACAGGCCTCTAAATACATTAGAGGTGGGATCAGGTGACATGGATAAGTAAGCATCCCATGTCGACCGGTCATGACCGCTGTGTGCGACGTGTCCCCACCCCCCAACGACCTCTCTTATGGTTCCTACTGACCTGTGATACCAAATTACAAAATAAAGCTTGTAACAGAGTCTGGTACTTGAATCAATGGTTTATTATCATTATCTATCATAATACATCAATTCATTATATTATCTATCATCGATCAAAATCCCTTGGCTTCAAACATCACTGAATAATGTCATAACCTTATATCAACAAGTCATACGTACACATTGCTTTGTTCGTATTAGCATTTTACATGATCATTAACTTAGTACATCAGTAGCTAAGGTAAACCAGTGCTAAGTCTCAACTCTAAAGTACCAAGATGACTATGTTTACTGAAAGACTGATGCAAGCAGAACTTTGCCAATTCACGAAGCAGACAAACACACAAATATCTGTGTTAATTAGGAAAATTGACTGATAATATGAGATTTGTGGATTTGCACGTAAACAAGGTCAAACTAAAGAAGGTTGGTCAGTAATGACTTGCCTTGAACATGATCTTATTTATTATATTTATGCACAATGGTCAGTTTGAGCACAAAACATCAACAAATTAAGAGAGTGGATTAAGTTGTTTTGATCATCTTCGCATTTTGTATTAGTTCATTTACCTTCATATATATACTATACACTGTATGATTTAATCAGAATCCACGGTACAAATATAATCAAATTTTATCATTTTTACTCACATCTATTGAATTTTCAAGTAGTTCTACTTTAACAAACCAGTTAAATGAATAAGCTAAAAATATAAACAAAGTGAAGGATGCCTATCAAACCAAGTATTCGGTAAATGAGAAAGGTCGTTGAAGGGTTAACCAAAATGAGAGTAAAAAGATGTTAATATTCGTAGTTGTTGTTTACTGATGAAGAAATAGGCTGATGGATAGGACGAATACATGTAGGTGGGCCGATGACAGTGGGCAGATGACAGCAGGTAAATTGGGAATTTACGAGAGAAACCCTGAGTTTGTTTTTCTGCATACCTATTAATTTTTTTTAAACCACCAATCACTCCAAAATATAATATGGCTTCTGCGTAAAATGTAAACGGATTCTGGGAACTAGATTTTTGTTGAAAAATGTCGTTTTCAACCAAAACTGGTCCCCAGTATGAAATTGAAATCTTTGAAACCTTATTGCAAAGGCACATTTACAGGGCAACACCAGTCTTTTTCAAAACACGATGTGGTTACTGTGCAAAGTGTAAGCAAAGTTCTGGGAACCAGGTTTTTGTTGAATCAACCCTAGTAGGCCCCCAGGAGTAGAATGCAAACTAACTTTGAAACCTTATTGCACATCTTCAGGACCTACCAATATGATTTGGCCGCAATGTAAATCGGAGTTTTAGGAATCAGGTTTTGTTTAAAGAAATGTCGTTTTCAATCCAAAATCCATAGGATGAAAATACAAACTATGATACCTTCAAAACCTTGTTACAAAACCTTGTATCTTCAGGGCACCACCATTATAAATTGGATACTGCTTAAAATGTAAGAGGAGTTTGATGAAAGGTGAAACACGAACTAACTGGTATAACAATAATATACATTTAGAACTTTCTTTAAAACGTACGGGTATAATGAACTAGCAGGAAGTTATAATAATAGAGTTTAACAAACCCAGGAAAGGTCAAGCTCTGAATGCCAACGTTTCTTTTGTACCGGTGTGATTAGCTGCTGGACTTTCATTATTAGATAAAAATAATCACTCTATTAGAAATGTTGTATATAATTATCTACATTTTCAGCAATAGTGATATGGTATGTATAAAAGTGAATATTTGGCCAAACCTTTCATTTATATAAGATGAATTTAGTATTTTATTAGTAGTTTTGTACAACATGGGTATAATAAGACATTTACACAA